AGTAACGTAATATGGGTCAAGTGATCAGTTTGATATCAATCTTTCGTGATACACCGTCATATTTACATTATTTGTACAGTACGAATGATTTGCTTTGGTACCTGGTCGAACTTCAGTTCTCCTCTGTCTGCCTGGCTGCGTTTCTCCAACAGCGCACTTGCAGGCAGTAGCTCCCCCCGCCCCCTCGCTCAGTCGCTTAGTGTCTGAGCTCGGATCATACCAATATTAGGGGGGATTTATGCACAGTTGTTAATTCCCACAGTGTGCACTATGTGCTTCGAATATTGTGTGCAGTTTTTGTCTTATACAGTTGTCAGCCAGTCATCTAACTATGAAAAAAATTACACTCCAAAAGACCCCGGGCTTCTGAAAAAACAACCCGGGCTTAAGCCCAGTAAGCCCCACCCCCCTCCCCTGCTCTGCCACTGGTCAGCATTCTATTCTATAGCTTCTATTAGCAGATTTCAAAGGACATTGTTGAGCTAATCACTTTCTCCTAACCTTGGCCTTAACATCGCTGGAACAATACTTATTTCTACTGATTTTGCAGTTGTGTAAGCCAGCTAGAAATGAACAGCTGGGCTGTGTCAACCTTTGGGTGTTACAGCACCTCAGAGAAAGACTTCTGACTGCTAATCTTTTATTAACTAAAACAGTCTGGGATGTGACATTTACATACTCTCTCCCCAAGCCAATTAAGCTCTTGATGTCCTGGTTATTATCACCAGGCCAGTAATGGATATTAGCAAAAGTCACCTCTGTTATTCAGGCTGTGGCTCTTATCTTGCCTTGCTTGCAGAAGGTCATCGATTGCCATGATCCTTTTTCACAGTATGTGAGCTGTCACACATTTTTGTCCTTTGTGTTCCTCCAGACCTGCGGGAGATAGTGTTCGTCATCCAGAGTCAAAGCAACACCTTCCATGTGAGGCAGGCAGAAAGACGGAGAGAGGATTTGCTCAAGCAGGCACGCGGTTTTACGAAGGTAAGACTCAATGTGCACGAGTTTTTCCTATAGTGGTACATTTTAGTATAAATATGTGTTGATCATGACATCAGCTTTCAGCATCAGTCTCATCTGAATATGAGTTATTTCTGTTTATGTTGCTGCAGGGTGTCATAACATTCAGTTAAACTCATTTTTCATTTAAAATCTACACACTAAAGGGTTTAAACATAAACACTTTGCTAATTGTTTACTAGTTGCATCGTTACTCATTGCTCATCACATCAAATATTAAATATTAGTATTATATAATTCATGGTAGTTCCAGATTAACCTGTAAAGTACTTTTAAGTCAAAAGTATGAAGTAAGTGTAGTTTGAAATAGCTTCTCATCTGCTTTTAATATTTTATTTGTTATGGAAATCCAGTGAGTTGTCTAACTTTGATTTTCACATGTATCACTGTGACCACTTACATACTTAATAATAATCATCAAAAGTTTGTTTGTTTGTTTGTTTTCAGCATTTTAAGGGATTTGTAAACTCATAGTAAGAACATCAGCATTATGTCAGCCTGGCTTTTTTTCTTCAAGTCTATTCAGAGCAGATTTAATGTAGTGCAATGTATGATATAATCTATTCAGTTAAATAGTCAATGCAGTGTTGCTAACAATATTACATTCAATTAAAGGACGCAATCACTCGCTGTGTTTATTCTATTAAAAGACTTTTTTTCTTCCTCAATATTCTTGGATTTGTCACTGAGTTGGAAACAATATTCTCTCAGTCTCCTGCTCAATGCTATGTATCTTGTATCCAGAGTATTGACTAGCTGTGCTGAATTTAGAGCAAGTCATTTTTTCTGATTCGTGTTGCCACAGTAATATAAATAAATTAACTAATAAACAATACAAGCTAAATGTAACAAAACATTTAAGAAGAAATTTATACATAGAGGGAAACCTTACAGCACAAGACAATTAAAACACAAAAATTAAATTCTAAATGAAAACAGCAAAAGTGGATAAGTGGAAGAAAATGGATGGGTGAACGGATGGACAGATGATATAAAATTAGCTCAAACTGGAAGCAGCGAGAAAGCCCACTTCTAAAAACATGTCTTTAAGAGACATTTAAGAAGACAAAGAGTGTGTCAATTTGATCTCCTTAGGGAAGTTGTTCCAGAGAGTGGGTGTCCTATCAGAAAAGCCTGGTCACCCTTTGTCCTCAGCTGAGAGTTGAGATGGCTAGCAGGGCCTTGGTCAAGGACCTCAGATTGTGGCCAGAAGATCTTAAATATCTTCTGGCAGTAAAGATGTTTGTTTGTTTTAGGCGTTTTTAAAAATAAATTATAGACAAGTTGTAGTTTAGTTTGTTGTAGTTTCTTCACCCAAACATGTGTATAAGGAGTTTTAGAAATTGAACTGATATTGGTGAGTCTCCTGAGTTCCATAAAGAATGAGGAGACAATAGAGATGACATGCCTGTTCAAGCCCAGGAGCTTTGTTGCAAGTGACAAGATTTTTAAAATATTGGCCAAAATTCATGGACAAACACCTATGATGTGTTGTCGTATATGCTTGCGCTCCATCAGGACCACTAAATAAAGATTCACGTAAAGATTACATCGGTCTTATTCATATTTATTAAAGGAGGTTCTGTGCCATCCAGTATTTGATCATGGATAAAATATGTTGAGTTGATGAATGTCATTGGGGTTTAAAGAGATGTGCAGCTGCATGTCATCTGCACCGAAGTGGAAATTCACACTATATCTACAGATGGCTTACCTCAAGGGTGACATGTACAGAGAACAAAAAAAGGTCCAAGGACAGACCCCTGAGGTAATCTATGGCTCATTTTTATAAAGGATGACCATGAATTGCCAGGTTTTACACTAAAAGACCTATCCTGTAATAAGAATAAAATCACTTTAAAAGTGGACCAGAAATGCTAAATAATAATACCTTTTAAAGACATTTATTGAAATGCCTTTAACATTGTTAAAGACATTTCAATAAATATTTTCCAGCATGACTGAAAATCATCACTCTAAGGAGTGCAGTGTCTGTGCTGTGGTTTACTCTAAAACCCAACTGAAGCGTTTCAAAAAAGTCTCTTCCCATTTTAAAAAAGCAATCAATTTTTCAGCAACAACTTCCCTTGAAAATTACTAGAGCCAGTATTGTCTTCTTTTTTGTCTCATCTTTGTGTGAAAACAACCCCAAAGGCGCACACTACACCAAGAATTACAAAGTCCAAAAATAAGAAATTAGAGTTAATGTCTAATTAAATTTTTATAGGTCAGATTTTTTTTTGCATGCTTTAATAGCTGGTACACTTTAAAAATATGATTCCATGTTTGCTGTAATAAACAGTGGCCTCGGTTTATGCAAGATGACAAGACTTGTCACGATGAGATTTAGTTACACTAATCCACATCAAGTTTTATGAGACGAGACAGACTTGCCACATCATGTTCTGTTTGCATTTGTGATCTCAGAGATGACTGGCATTTTAGCATCTGTTGCATGCAATTACACAAACTAATTTCAGAGCCGGCAGCTTCTTAAAGACACATCAGTAAAGGCTTAACAGCTTTTTAAAGAGTTATAAGATTTGTGATAAATCAAAATTTTGATTGAAATGCACTAAAAAAAAAAGCTCACGGGGAATGAATGCTGCTGTTACACAAAGGCTGCATATTCAACACGTTAACACGTTAAAATTTAATGTGGGTCTGTATGAAACATGATTTAACCCCAAATTAAAATCTAGTAGAATTTATAAAGCGTGAAATATCAGATGGAAAAAATGCAAATGCAAAAAGGGGGAGAGAGGACAATGGGAACAACAATTTTCCCTCTTATACTTGCATTTCTTATTCATTAAAACCTTTTATGTCATTGTTTACCTTTACCGTGTTCAGTTTTTAATTCCATGACTTAATAAAATGTAGTCTTTTGCTTGTGCATTTAATTTTAATTGTAATCAGCAAAATAATTCTCATTTAATAAGTCCACTAAATGAAACAAGGACATCTGTATCTTTAATGGCACAGCTTTTTAAATTCATTTTTAATTGAACGCCAAAATTGACAAAGCAAAATTACTTCACTGCGACAAATCTCTTGTTTTTTAATGGAAAAAAAAACATTTTCTTATCTGAAGCTGCTATAGTTTAGGTTTGGATAAATCCAGGCACAATCATCTTTGAGTAGTTGGTTAATGATAGGGAGTGATAGTGGCAGTGATGAAAGCAACTACCAATAACTACTGTTAGAGCAAGGAGAGGAAGGAGCAGTGGTTTGCGCCATAAAAAAAACTTGGCGCTGTGTTGACCCATCCATCCACCAGGATCTCACAGCACAAAAAGTGAGCTAAACTTTTGCTCCTGACATGAATCAGAATTCACATTCTTTCACTCTTTTGTTTTTCTGTTCATGTCTATAAACGGACAGACTTAAATATAGCTTAATAAGGTATCTACAGTAGTCATCCAAGTAAGGCCTCAGTCACACACCCCTAGAGTCTGACCAGTGCCTATGGCAGTAAGTGTATATCCTGACTGACTGGCAGCGAGTGAAGGTTGGAATTTTGCTCACTGTCCACAGGGGAAATTGTTTGCAAAGAGCTGCACCAGAAATCTCTTTTGTCACTAGTGGATTGCTGCGGTCCCCTGTAGTTTGTTAGGAAGACGCTGACTTGTCTGCAAACACTCACCATTTTAATTCACTACATCCCTGAGTGCCACATAAACACACTTTGACTGGCCTTCAGAGTAACAGTTGTGTCATACCACTACAGCCAACACAATTCAGAAGATGCAAGTTTTACTTTGAAGGTGAACATTCTCTAATTCCAGTTTGCATCACACAATTGACAGTAGTGTTTGCAAGTGTTTGTATAAAAGATGCCAACTTATCTGCAAACTACTGGTGACTGTAGCACCAGTAGTTTGTATAAAGCAGGAGCTTTTCGGTGCAGCATCATATACCTCTTTGAGAGCAGTTTCACCTGTGCTAGGTAGCTTGAGTGCTAGGTAAGATTAGAAAAGCACTATACAGTGGACCTCCGTTTATCGCGGGGATTACGTTCTAAAAATAACCTGCAATAGGTGAAATTCGCAAAGTAGCCAACTTTATTTTTTACAACTATTATGGATGTTTTAAGGTTTTAAAACCCTTCACTACACACTTTATATGCTTTTCTCAGACAGGCATGAACATTTTCACACTTTTCTCTCTTGTTTAAACGCTCACGTTCAAACCATCGTAGAAAAATAAGTCCAGTGTTATAGAATGAAACCAAAGGCACCTGCAGGTGTCTTTGATGGTGCAAAACATTTCGTCAACATTGTTGTTTGTTGGGGAGAAACTTACAAACATACAGTACAGCACTTCAGAGTCATACTGCTAGCGATTGAAGATTTATGTAAATTTGACAAGCTGGACACATTCTGTACTGTACAGGAGACACAGCACGAGATTGACAGACAATGATCTACAGCCAATCAGGACGCAGAACACAATGCACTGAAAAAAAGCATGCACAATTGCACACACAAAAAAATCTGCGAAACAGCGAGGCCGCGAAAGGTGAACCGCGTTATAGCGAGGGACCTCTGTATAAGAACCAGTCCATTTACCATTGAGCAGTCCAACTACCAGCAACCTGGAGGAACCCCTCTCCTCAACCAGTGATAAAGTATACACATTTCTGTTAGGGAATGCACATTTGTCCCTCACCATGAGTAGTTACTAAATGATCACCAAGAGAGTTCTAGCCTCTATTACTGAGGTCCAATTTCAGTTAACATATTAAAATATTTTCATTTAGAATAGCTCTTAAAATCACCAAGTGCCAAGTTTTGTGCAAGCTGCTTGTGTTTTGCAGGATCCTGTTTTGTTGAATTGCTGTCAGAATAAAAATATGCCAAAACAAAAGCAGAAAAGGTGTTCGAATAGCATGGATAAAATGTAAACTCCAATTGATATTACTGTCTGCCAGCCTATCATCTCAAGCCAAACATAGGTTATAACCAGCTGTCTCTGTCTACAGTCACACCTCCGAGACACATCACAGAAAATCTTAGAATTCTAACAGTCTTACAGGGTGTTATAGAAACAGTGAAAGAAAGCCATCAAAGCCAAAGAGACTTTGCTAAGATTGTACTTTTGCTGTTTATTGTTATTTTAGATGTATACAGTTCTGTGGAACAGAAAACTGTCATGAAAATATCTATAAATCATTTTTTGAGACATAAAAACACAGCAACGACAATGCAGAAAAGAGATAACCTTGGATAGTTTTGGTAATGAAGTTTGGATGTAGGCAAAATGTTGTTTTAGATAATTAAATAATTAAGAGCTCACACTGTTTCTCTAATTATGTCAAGTTTCAGGGTCAGTTAACTGGAAACTTTCTGATATTTCTGTTTTATCCTCATTGGACTCCTAAAGGTTGTGTTGCACTGACTTACACAAAGGAACTTGTGCATTCTGTGTCGGTTCACAGCCCATGTTCCTACAGTCTGACAATTCTGCCTTCTGGGAAAATTCACATTACATTTATAGTGTTTTTGTCATTTAGCCAATGCTTATATCCACAGAGACGCGCTGAGACTACAGCAAAATGCGATTAAACTAAAACCTTTACCAGCAGTAGTGCAATATGCATGTTTTTAATGTTTTCCTGTTCATCACTGTAATAGCAATTCATGCGTATAAGAAGCCACAGTGATGAAAATTTGTTCGTATGAAAAATGGATTTTCTTTTCAACTGCAGTCCTTATTTTTACAGGTGACTGCTGGATCTTTTTTCTCTCCTCCAGCCCTTATTGGTTAAAGCTTCCTATGACTGTATTACAGCCAGGTCCCACTGACCCCCATTATCTTCCTAGTCAGCAAGCAATCAGTGTCCTGTTCATGTCCTCGTGAGGACTGGCTCTTATCTTTTGATTAGCAGTTTGCAGCTCGCACCCAACTGCTATAAAACTATCTGTCTGGTCTTCTTGAATGCCTCTATTATCAAAAGAATGTCGATAGCTCTTCGAAGACAAAGCCCTTGTTTTGAGTTTGCATTATTATCTGAAGATGATGCGTCTTTGATTTTATTTTTCCCCTTTATTTTTTCATGGAACAGCAATGGTGTAAATGTCAAGTAGAGAACAGTTTAATAAAACATGGCAGACGTCAGACGTGTGATCGTTTTAAGAGTAAACTTGTGTAATATGGTTAGAGATAATAAACCTCAGCTGACTAATCAGGATTAATATGTATACACAGTGTCGGCCTCATCAGCTAAATCAAACATGCTGCCGCTAGACAGAACGACTCAGAGGAGGCTGTTCTCCCTGACTTCCTGCATGATGAGTGGACCATGCTGTAATGAACCACAGGGTCTTACGCTCTGCTGCTTTGTTTTCCTCACAGTGTGAAATGAAACATTGGCTCTCTCAGACAATCCTCACACAATTTCTCAGCTCTGGCCACTCAAAAGGAAATTTTTATTTAGAAGGGATTGTAGGCACTGTACGCATCCTGAAATATCCTGTTCTTTTTTATTTCTTTCTTATCAAAGTATATATTTTAGTGTAAGGACAGGAAGTAGCAGCAGCAGCAGCTCTGGACTTTTTATAGTTTTTTCGTCATGTTTTTTCTAATGCCACAGTCAACTGATCTGATACAGTGAACATCTCAAAAGGCAGAAATGTCATGCGCTCTGATATCCTGATTTCTCACCATCGTTGTTGGGAAAACTTCAGCATGATGATTTCATTTGGAATATTCTAATGAGCATATCCAGATTCATGAAAGTATGATGAGAGGTTTTACATGTGCAACACAACCCAGATACTTGAAAAACCCAATTATAAGCAGAGTAGTTTAACAAATGTATTCATCAAAGTGACAATATTTTTGTGAAATCATTGACTTACTTATTGATTTACTGAAATTAATAGTAAACAGTAGCTGAGCTGTGCAGAACAGTAAAACACACCAGTCTGATTTGAAAAATTGTACACAGTACAGTATTATGCAAAGCTGTTAATGCACAGTTCAGTTTTTCATGTTTAGCGTCTAAGGAGCTTTACTTTCTTGTAATTGGTCTTAAGCAAGAGTTCTCAGGGCTTTTTGAAGGTATTCAAAGTTTGTCTTTGGACATTGGATGCTTTTTCATTTATTTTCAGTCCACTCCTTGTACCTGACCTTTTTTTTTTTCTTTCGTTAATCCACTTAATGCTGACCTATGAATTATTTAGACATAAAAAAAGCCACTCATGTTGTTTCTACACATAACAGACAACTTGGCAAAGAGCCCATTTGAAATAGTATTTTTAGGCATTTTGTTACTTGCAGCCTGTGCCAAAAACACATTTGTTCCCATTTCTTTGGCTGAATCTATGAAAAATACCAAAGATAATACAATTTGACAGGCAAAAAATTGTATTTTTGCACCAATAAGGTGATCCTGAAAAAGGTTTTAGCAAAAAATTTGGCATATAGTGTAGTGTGCCTTTTTTAAAAGAAAAAAAAAGCACAGGTGAGGACAAAAAAGAAGAAGTGGAAGATCTAAAAAATGAACTACATCAGATGAATGGTACCTGAAAGTCATGCCCCTAAGAAAATAGGAAAAAATCCACCAAACA